AAAAACTAGCTGAGTATGGTGATGTACAGCTGTAGTCCCAGCTACTTGGGCTTTGAGGCAAGAGGATTACTTGAGCCCAGGAGTTTGAGAACAGCCTGGGCAACATAAACAGATTGTATCTGCTTTAAAAATATAAATTGTAGAAATGTAGAAATTTAAATTTGTTACCAAAATTTGTATTACAAATGGATTTTTGTGTTTTGTAAGTTGTTGATAAAGGGTATATACAAAACACTTCATCTAATGAATAACATGTATTTTACTGCAAATAACCAGTTACATAAGCAGGGTCTTAACACCAATATGGTAAGACTTTAACACCATAATTTTGTCATTGTAGTTTATTTAAAATATCCACTCAAAGTCTTTATATTACATTAGGAAATTAAAATTTCAGAAATTTTTATATTTAGTTGTTTAAATAATCATTTGAAGTTCCTGTATACTACGAGCTACTGGAGGTCATAGACATATTTGTGTGTATCCCGGAGTACCAGGAGTACAGTCTTCCAAGTAAGAAGCATTGTAATTGTTGCTTTTTCTAGATGGAGTTTCATTCTGTCACCCAGGCTGGAGTGCAGTGGTGGGATTTTGGCTGACTTGTAATCTCCACTTCCTGGGCTCAGGTGATCCTCCCACCTCAGCCATCCAAGTAGCTGAGACTGTAAGCCTTTGTCACCTTGCTTGGCTCAGTTTTGTATTTTTTTAGAGATGGGCTTTTGCCTTGTTGCCCAGGCTGGTCTTTAACTGTTGGGCTCAAGTGATATGCCTGCCTCAGCCTCTCAAAGTTCTGGGGTTACAGGAATGCAATACCAAATTCAGCCTTAATAGTTGTTTAATATGTAAATAGATAAATGAATTTTTATATAATGAAATAAGTAACATAATATACATAATGTATCTAATGATAACTGCATTTTTAAATTGTACTTTAGGTTCTGGGGTACATGTGCAGATCATGCATGATTATTGCACAGGTACATACATGGCAAGGTGGTTTGCTGCCTCCATTACCCCATCACCTATATCAGGCATTTCTCCCCCATGTTCTCTCTCCCTGACCTCCCCACCCCCCACTGTCCCTCCCATAGTGCTCCCCAACAGACCCCATTGTGTGATGCTCCCCTCCCTACTTCCATGTTTTCTCACTGTTCAACACCCACCTATGAGTGAGAATATGTAAGGTTTGATTTTCTGTTTTTGTGTCAGTTTGCTGAGAATGATGGTTTCCAGATTCTTTTATGTCCCTACAAGGGACACAAACTCATTGTTTTTTATAGCTGCATGATAACTGCATTTTTAAAATATTGCTTACATTTATATTATTTTTAATGTTTAAGGTTGTATATGTTTTGATGTGTTATTTTGAGAACTTATGCCATAAATAAAAAAGAAATAAATTAGAAATAGATTATCAGTAGCAAAGAGGGTTCCAGTATACTTTCTAATATCATTCAGCCGGAATCTTAGATTAAAATTTTAGATTAAAATTTCTTAAATATTTTGTTAGCCCCAACTCATGTTCTAATAAATATGCCTTTATAAGCCATGCATTACTCTTTAGGATTCTGGCTACCAATTCTTTCTCTAGGTGGAAAGTTGATGGAAAGTTCTAGTTTTCCCTCTCTGTACTAATAATGTTCTTTCAGGTAGTGGTAGATGACCATGGTTAACTAATTGAATGTCTTATAGTAATAAAATTAAACTCTGTATCACAGAAGTATTTTTTAAAAACTATAGCGTAAGTATTAATTAACCTGTATTGTTAGGGCTATGAAAAACGAAAGTCTCTGTTATATATCTATTTCTCCATGAACTTTACTGTATTTGATGTTGTTTCTTTTCTTTCTTGGCTGAGGCATATATTTAACTGACAAGTTAGGCTTTTTTGTTTCTCCCTTCATCCTCACATTTTAAAAATGATTTATTGCCACCTGTTTTTTTCCTCACAGATATCATTTCTGTAATCACTGGTCTTTCAGTCCATCTGTGTCTTCAATTGTCAGTATATTTAGTTACAGCTTTCTGCTTAGTTAGCTATGTGTGAGTTTTCATTCAACAATTATTGTCTCACAAGGTTTTTTTCCCTCTTCTTTAGAATAACAATTTATACATTTATCTTTAACTTTTTGGCAAACAATAAAATCAACTAATGCTATTTGTAATGTCAACCTACTTAGATACTACTATAAACTCTCGTTTTCTCCCACAAGAAGTGGTTTATGCAAATAATTACCTCCTGAATATACCCATATGAATTATTTTCTTACATTTTTTAGCTCGTAATAAACTATGTGCTAAGCAAATTACTGCTTCATAGTATAATTCAGTTAACTTGCATGATTCATTTAAGAAGCATGTATAGATCCAAGATGGCTGATTAGGAGCAACTCAGGATTGCAGCTCCCAACGAAAGTGCAGCGGGTTAGTGATTGCTGCATTTCCAGATGGATTTTTATTACCCACAGACCAGGAGATTCCCAGGTGGAGGAGCCTCACGGGTCGCCAGCATGGCTGTTTTAGCTGGCACGGTTAGTCTCTGCACAAAATACACAGGTCCAAGCGCCACTGTAGCTGGCAACTGGAGCTCCTGGGAGACAGAGTCACCCATTCAACTGATTCAACTATAAAAAGGGGAGTGAAACAAGGAGTCAGGCTAGGAGATTCCCGGGCAAAAAAGTGCCACGAATCTCTGCGCAGCTGTTTAAGCCAGTGCAGTTGGTCACCTCATGGGAAATCACACAGATCCCAGGGCCTTTTCAACAGGCAACTGGAATGCCTGGGAGACAGAGTTGCCCAAAAAAAAAAAAAAAAAAAAAGGGGGTCTGAGTCAGGGAGCCAGTTGATCAGGTCCTACCCCCCAAAAAAACCAGCAATTTGAAACGCTCTGGATTCAGAGTTTCACACC